GAAGTGGCGAGGGTTCACTGTACTACTAAATGATTTCAGCTGAGAATCTCTTCAAGGATGTAGCAAAAAATGCAGTCCACCAACTTTGGGTCCTGTAAAAAAAAAAAAATCACTAAACTAAACGTGATCATTATTCCACCTTTTTGTTCTACGGGTATGAGTATACAAAAATGCCTTCTGAAGTTTTATGAATCCACTATTTTCCTTAGTAAATAGGGTTGGGGTAAAGCAAGTCTGAGCATAAAGACTTGACGGGCTCGCCATGTTAAAATCAGTACATTGGCCTGAGTGAGACAGTGTTTCACGAGTTTACCTTTTGGGCCACAGAAATGACCTGGCTAAAGTTTCCAGTAGACTTACAAAGGCCAAGTCATCATGGTTAGGTTTTATGTCAACTTGTGTAGTCCAGGATTCTCTCATGATGTGATCAATTCTATGATAGGAGCATCTATGAAGCAGCCAAGCAGCTATGAGGTGAATAGACATCTTTAATTTAGTCACAGCTTCCCTAGAATTGAGGGAGTTTTCATTCAGGGTGTTAGTATAAATTGACAGTGTGTGGAAGCTGGTTGGCTTCTACTGCTGGATCTAGATCCTGCATCTGCTTCATTGACCTCTGGTTATACCACTTGCTGATCCCAGGAGCCATCGGTAGACTGACAACCTTGGATTCATTCAGCCTATCTCGGAGTCAGTCAGTTTGGCACTTACCAGCCTGGGTCTTCCTGCTTCCTGTTGGTCAGGGCCTGCAGCTACTGCAGTCAGGAGAAGCTTTCAGCTTACATCTGACTCCATGGACTTGACCCAGACTGGACTTACCCACTTTTCCAACTGTGTGAGGCATTTCTCCTTATAAATCTTCCCCGCTATACATACACATACAAGCATTGCTGGTTTTGCTTCTTTAGAGAACCCAACCTGAGATAGGCCACATCGCAATGTCTGCTTTAAATGGGTAGCTTTAAAATCAAGGGCGGAAATGAAGTCTGAAACAAGGAAATGTCCGCATTCATAGTGAGATCCCATTACCAAGGAGCAGGTCTGCCTGTTCAATGGAGATGATGACCTGTCTCCCACTGAGAACAAGTATTACAGGTACAAATGGGAATGC